GTAATTCCGACCAGACACGGAGACAGAGGTGAAAGAGAAAGGAAAAGAAAAGGTGGGGAGGGGGGGGGGGGGTCCACAAAAATAAACAACTAACCCTAACCCTAACAAGATCTACCTATCACTGCGTCAACTTGATGAAAAGAAAAAATATATATATAATCAACATTGCTTAACTGAAGAATCACGATAATAAATCACAGTGCATTAAGTGCCCACCATAGTCTTAAGACATGTGTTGAACGTGCCCAAGTCCATACTTTTGAGAGCACCATGTGAGCACCTGTGTGTGTACACGCGCTTGTTTATGTAAGGTTTCTCTATAGGAGCGTCCAACAGAGAGTGTGAGGGACCACAGATCCGCCCCCCAAAGATGCGTAGGAGACGGGGGGAGCTCCAAGTCCCAGAGATCCAGGCGCTGCCCCAGAATGCAGGAACCCCAAGGAGACTGCAACCAGGAAGGCCCCCGCACCCCTCGAGAGGCACAGAGGATCGCCCCGGGGGGCCACAACCAGCAGCCGGCAGAGTCCCGGGAGATATCAGCGGCAAGCCCTCAGGCCCGCCCGCAGCCTCCCACCCCCTAGCCGGCCAAGCCCGGGACCCAGCGACCCGGGACCCAGGGGCGACCACCCCCGCCGGGGACCCAGCAGAGCCCAGGGACCCAGACCCCACCAGGATCTATCAGGCAGATGCCAAAATCTTAAACCCCCAGACCCGGTTGCCCCAAACACTCAGGCAGACCAAGGCACAAGCCCCCACACCAGGTGTGGCAGGGGGAGGGGGACAGAGATCTATATCATCAAAAGAAGTCCCAGGAGAGGGGAGGACCCAAAGGCCCCACCTGACATATACAGTCATACACAAACACAGTCACACACTCCCTCCCTCATGCTCACACATGCACATACAACCCAAGACTTACAAAAATGCACGCCGGACACCCACTCATGCTCCCCATACACACCCTATTCACTCTGGTCCCGGTACTGCTGCACATGGGGTACAACCATCACCGGTAACCAGAGTTTGACCCTTTCTGCTGGAGTGCTGATGAGCAGGCTCCCCCGCCCAACGCCGAGCACAGCAACCCACCACCCCAGACCCCAACCAGACGGCCAGATCTCCCTCCTAGCCTCCAGCCCCAGGAAGCCAAGCAACAACAGAGGTGTGCTAAGACCCCTAGTCTCCCTCCGCCTGCTCCAATATAGTGTTGTGTGATCATGAGGTGTATTCCATGGCTGTGGTGAGTGGGCAGTGCGGGCATCATCCGGCCTATGCCAGCTGGTGCCACCGCACCACCCCACTTACACCCTCAGCCATCAGTGTCTAAGTGCGGTTTAAAATTGGAAGTGGGCACCGGCACTCGGAGGAGGCTGAAATATCCCCCTGCCAAATGCCATTGAATGTGCTCACTCCCAAGGCCCTAAGTGTGTGTTTGTGTGGAATGTCGTCAGTGGAAGTGTTTAAGGTGCAAATAAAATTGGGGGGTAGGTTGTCACAGGAATGTGGAAATGGGGCCCATACCCGCACTCCCTGACTTGCCCACCCCCCAAGGTCCTATGTGTATGTTTGTGTGATGATGTGAGGGAGCAGGAGGAGAGAAATATGCAGGGATGGGGAGGAATGGCTGGTTGGGCTTAGCCCTCCAGGGAGCCAGCTCCCCTACTGGCCCCAATAGGCACCTCTGTTGTCAAACTGCCACCCAGGGCATGGAGACCCCCAGCCCATCCTGCCAGGGCCCAAAGCAGCAGCCATCTTTTAGAACATTTAGGGAGGGAAAGCCTGGATGAAAAGGTGAGTTTTAAGATGTTTTTTTAAGACCTCTACAGTGTTAGAGAGACGGAGATTAGAAGGTAGACTGTTCCAAAGTCTGGGTGCAATAGTCTGAAAGGCCCCGTCCCCTTTGGTTTTCAGTCTGGTTCGAGGAACAGCCAGGAGGTTTTCAGATGTGGGTCTAAGGTTCTGAGAGGTGGTGTGTGGGGATAAAAGCTCAGATAGGTAGCTTGGAGCCTGGTTGTTAAGAGCTCTATAGGTCAGGACTAAAACTTTAAACTGTATTCTAAAGTCTAGAGCAGCGGTCTCCAAACTTAATTAGCCGCACACCCCCTTCTATGTCCCGACCATGTTGACGCACTCCCCAGCCCCACATCAGGGCATGGCTATATCTATATATATATATATATATATATATATATATATATAGTCATGTTGTGGTGAAGTGATCTAACCCACTGCATACAGAATCAGATCGGAGACTGTTTAAAAGGTTTAAATAAGGTTTTATTGAAGGGAAACCAAGGGAGCAGCATAAACGAAGCGGAGTTCTTGCACAGGGAGGCTGGTGCGGGAAAACTGTGGACAGATCGGAGTTAGAACCAGTTTGCGGAAGGAACGGGAAGTCAGACTTGTGGAGGACTTACGGTCTGGAGAGGAGGGAACTGGTTTGAGGGAGGAGTGGTCCAGTCTAAGTTGAGTGGCTTGCAGGGACTGAGATCCAGAAGTGAGACGTGGAGGGAGCTGAGTTTATGGAGGTCCAGGAAGTTTAGGTGGGCAGCTGGAGGTGGTTCTGGCCAGGGGAGAGGCTGAGAGACGTGCGGGGTTGGAGATCCAGGTGGTGTGGACTCCAGAGTTCTGCCAGTCCAAGATGAGAGTGTGTAGGTTTGTCTGGGAACAAGAGCAGGAGGTCAAAGGGCAAAAATCCAAAACTCATTAAATTCTTAAAAATCCAAAAACACAATCTAATTCTCAAAAGGCTTAAAGAGCTTGAACAAGATAAACTAGCGGCTGTTGGAAGGTACCCAGGTAGAGTAATCATCCAGCGAAGTGTAGGAGTCTCCCAGCTGCTTAAATACCCCTGGCCAGCTGATGAGCAGATCTGCTGCAGCTTGGTCACCTCCAGACACGCCCACCTGCAGAGGGAAACTCAAAAGACAGGGAGTGACAGCAGGGAAATACCTCAGACCGTGACATATATATATATATATATATATATATATATATATATATATATATATATATATATATATATATATATATATATGGGGACAAAGAGGCTGGAGCTGACCTGGGAGGAATGATTTAAAAGGGTAACAACATAAGACACGTAACTGAGATGCAGACAAAAGACACACGAGGGCGCTATGAGACACAGAAGGGAATCTAGAGAGGGATGGAGGAACGTCAGGAGACACATGAAGGAAGACACAGACGCAGACCATGACAGAACCACTGCATGTTGATCCACTGACCAGTGACCACACATGTTGTACTCAAGTAAACTGTGGTACAAATCTTTTGAAATATTAGACATTTGTATTTATTTTATTTAAAAATGATTCTTTATTCTAACAGTGCCATTATAATTTCAGAGAAAGAATAAGAAAAGATCATTTCTATAGCGCCTCTCAAGATAAAAATCACGAGGCACTTCACAAAAACAAAATATGTAAAAATATAAAAAAGAATTTAGAAAATGATTACAAATATATTTAAAATGAGCAAAAAATAGAGAATTGTGATTAAAAATGAATAACCGTAGAGATGAAGTTACTGGAACGTGAACGGTGCTGGTTGTTGGAAGTGATGATGATGAGAGAAGATATGACGGGTTAAGGTAACCCTAACCGATGTAACATCCTGCAGGAATGGAGTGATGGCCAGTTAACGAGTGAGTACAGATCACATGATGAGTAGTGAAAGGGGCACCAGTGACCAAACGGGTTGCTGAGTGATGAATAATCGAGTTTATGAAGAAGTTTTAGGCAGCGGTCCTATAAATGATGTCACCGTCATCTAAGATGGAAGGATTGTCATGTTGACCAAGGTTTGCAGAACGAGTTAAGGATGACCTGTTGCTATAGAAACCCAATTCTTCACTTGACTTTAGAACGTAATGAATTCATGTGAACGTCAGATGAAAGTGTGCTGGTTAGGGTTAGGGGAACCTGGAGCTTCAGCTGCGACGTGAAGTGGCAAGTTTTAACTTTTTCTCATTGGCCGTAGACGAGAGCTGTGATGTCCGCGACACAGCCCAGCTGTTCGTGTTTGTCCGGGGATAACGGACTTCAAGCTCACAGAGGAGCTGGCAGCAATGCGGTCGATGAGAGGGACAACGGCAGAGGTAAATGCGTGCACGGACACTCTGGGATTGAAATGGGAGAGACCGTCAGGTGTCACAACAGACGTTGTCCTGATCTTACAGGGAAAAATGTCGGACTTTTGAAACGCATGCAAGATAAAGGGACAGATCAAAAATTGGTGTTTTTGCATTGAATTATACACCAACATGTGTTGTGCAAGTCAGTGCTACAGATCAACCGTGTTACTGATGTTGTTACTAAAATAATAAACTCCATCAGGGCCATGAATCACAGACAGTGTGTGGCTCTTCTGGAGGACTCCACCCAGCTGTCAGGAGGCTCAGCCTGGGGAAAGTGCTGAAGAGGGTTTGGGACTGGAAGGCAGAGATTCGAGAGGAAAGGCAAAGACATTCCAGAGCTCTCAGATGAGGACTGGATGGCAGGTTTAGCATTTGCTGTTGATGTGACTGCACTGATGAATGAACCGAACACCAAACTGCAAGGCAAGGACCTTCTTGTTCATGAAGTGCACAACCTCGTGAAGGCCTTCATGAGAAAGCTGCAGTTTCCTTCAAGTCAACTGGAGAGCAACACTCTCACTCACATGCACACCCTAACCACGTCACACCATCAGCTGACCACCTCAGCAGTACTCGTCCATGTTAGGAGCATCACACGGTGAGTTTTCAAGGCGTTTTGAAGATCTCAGAACAATGGAGGATGAAATGCACATGATGTCCTCTCCCTTTACCTGCAGTGTGGATCATGCACCCAGTGATGTGCAGCTGGAGCTCACTGACCTGCAGTCTCATGCAGTACTGGCAGAGCACTTTGTCAGGATCTCTGCTGGATTTCTACTCCTCTCTTAAGGAGGAGAACTTTCCAAACCTGAGGAGCATTCAAACATAATTTCTGCAAGACATG